AATAAGACACTTTGATACTTATAACTCGTATTTATCACCATTAATTACTCTCGACAATAAACCCATCGACCATCTGCGAAAATCCTGGCATTTCCGGGGCCTACGAGAGCCGGTTCAAAAGCCTGGAAGGCGTTCCGGTGATCCCTTTGAAAATCTCAATCAGAATAACACAATACCAACATACAAAAGCGATTTACAGCAATTTATTTATTTGCAACGTCAATACATAGCTCGTTCGCTTCACTCCCTTCCAACTCTCAACTTGAACGAGGAGCTCCTTTTAAAATATGAGAATATGTAACAGTTGGTACGCTCGTAATTTTCTAGTACACTTGTCGTTTGCTTTGTTCAATTGTTTCATTGCGGTTGAGATGGCAGAATGTCAGGTCGGTATTCATGAGGTTTGTTTTTAAATTTGCTATGCATGAGACATACTGATTCTAAGATAAAAATACAAGGTAATGTTAAGATTTTATGTTTTATAAAGAGTGGCTTGCAAGAATCCCGGAATTTAGCTTTGCACATATACCTTACTGCTCGTTTTTGCAAGACAAAAATCATATTGAAAACATATTGACTACATGATCCCCAAAAACAGATTCCAAATGTCAGATGTAAATCGATTAAAGCATAATACACACTTTTTGCCATATCTATACCAAGTTCCCATGAAATGGTTCTCACTGCGAAACATCCTGATGCCAATTTTCTTCTGAGTTTGTCAATGTGACCTTCGAATTTCAATTTATCCCATACCCGACACATAACTGATCACCTGATTTCCTATATGAAGTTCTTGAAGATTACATTTGAAAGTTAGGATGTTAGTGTTTGGTATATTGAAAGACAACTTATTAGCATCACACCAATCTTTAACTTTACTAATATCATTCTCAATCATTTGATGCAATTGTGTGCCATTTTTATCATGCCAAAGTATTGTGTTGTCATCTGCAAATTGAGTGAACTCTCTCCGGAAATATTAATTGAGGCTAGATCATTTATATAGACTAAGAAAAGGGTTGGTCCCAGAACGGATCCTTGAGGTACCCCTCATCTAATTTGTGTGATAAATTGCCTTGAAGATATACGCTTTGAGTCTGTCCAATTTAAACATTTTTCTGACTAATAGTACACTCACCGTATGCCACTGTCAATATTTCTAGTGCTTTTGAGCGCTTAATTCAATTTTTTACACAAAATTTGATGCAAATTCTTTTATACATTTTTTTCTATAGCAGAAAATCGCTGAACACGCAAAACACTTATAACTTTTATGCCACTTCTAACTTTTTCGCTAATCGAATGTATGTATTTTGCGAAATTTATACATTCTCCTTATTTTTTATATAATATGGCTTTAAAAAAATGACATTAGGGTATTTCAAAAAGAATTAAACAACTTCTTGTCATTTTTTTAGTACTTCGATCCATTACCGACTCTGATTACCAAAGAAAAAATAACAGATGAAGAAGTTTTTCAATGTAAGAAGGTCATCTACAACCTTATCTCACTCGAATCTAAGATGGAACCTCTCCATCCGCTGAATACTGGACAGAGAGTAAAAGGGCAGAAAAGGGAAGACCAGTATAAATCAATGTGGAATGAGTTGGAAACGCTTTTGAAGAATAATCTGCATTCTGACAATCACAGGAACGTCTACAATTGCCTGTTAGAATGCCACAAGTTCAATTTTGACGAGGATAAAATTTCAGAGAAGGTTGAACTAGATGAAGCTTTGAATCAGTTGGATAATATTGGTAAGATGGGTAATTTTGTGAATTTTTCAGGTGTCCATGGATTTCATCAAAAGTGTGTGAAAAATAAAGCAATTTGTTCTTACAAACTAACTTCAAAATGCTCTGTTGTTATCAGTTTGCCTAAAGAATGAAAATATTTGAGTAAATTGGCTCATATCTAACCGGTGACAATTATAGATACTCAAAGAACATATAACTAATCAGTAAGGATTTAAATTGTTGAGAATGAAGGAAAAACAACTTACCCCAACTAATGCTGCGCAGAAAGCTGCAACGTCATCCATTTGAAAGATTCTCGTCAGCAAACAAAATTAATTGCAACTAGTCATGAGCTCTACCTGCAGTTGATTCAGTAGGATGTCCACTGCGCCATCTACAGACAAAGTCCGGAAACAACTATACATACACATACTCTGGAGTCAGAGTCAGAATGATAAACATATTTCGGAGAGGTGCATATGGCATGCCCAAATTCAGGTGAGAAAGTCGTAGGTGCATATGAGAGCCAAAAGGTAAGGTGTTTTTCACCTGACCTTGGGCATGTCATATGCACCTGTCCGGAATATGTTTATTATTCTGACTTCCACTCCGGAGTATGTGTTTTTGGAGTTGTTTCCTGACTTTGTCTGCAGGTGGCACAATAGGCATCTTACTGAATCAACAGATAGAGCTTATGACTAGTTGGAATTGATTTTGTTTGTTCGGGATACTCAGATGATTCACTCCATCTGTAATGACCTGCCCGGTACTGACGAGGGGCAAGTATCCCAAAACCTGTTTATCGGTGGTCGTGCTGACCAAATTAAATTAATTTCTCCTTTTCATATATAGGAAGTACTTGCGACGAATCTTCCAAATGGAAGACGTTACGCAGGTGCCTGATGGTTTTACTTCAGGTTTCTGCGCGCCATTAGCTGGGTTAGTTGTTGTTTTTCCGTCGGGTATCTGCCACACGTACCTACGAAAACGTAGGTTCACATGAGAGGGGAGTGAGGTGTTTTTCACCTGAACTTGGGCATGTTATGCACCTCTCCGAAATATGTTTATTATTCTGACTCCCACCCCGGAGTATGTGTTTGTGGAGTTGTTTCCAGACTTTGTCTGCAGGTGGCGCAGTAGACATCCTACTGAATCAACTGCAAACAGAGCTTGTGATTAATTGGAACAAATTCTGTTTGTTTGGGATACTCGGGATATTCAGGCTCTCTTCCATTTCTTGTTGATAATTGTTGTTGTGCCCCTGTTGTTTGTTGTTGATTGTATCCATGTCTTCCGCAAAGAAAAGCTCCTATCCATGTCTTCCGTAAAGAAAAGCTTCCTATTCATGTCTTGTTGATGTTAAAGTATTGACAAGTTACTGATAAATAAAACATTTTTCATTGTTAAAAATGCTTCAAATTCACCCAGACTAGAGAGTTTGCCCCTGCCACACCTTTACAAAGTACTCTATTACAAATTTTATGTTTTCGGATTTTGGTAGATGAAAATACTTTAAAAGAGACCGATAAAGAAGTCTCTTATTTTTTGAAATTCTCATAGCATTTACTTTCTTGCTCTAGGGTAGTAAACGTGATGATCGAATTTTTTTTTTTTTTTTTCAGTACCTTAA